CAACCACCGTGTAGAAGAGAAGACCCCCTGAAAGTACATACGCGAAGCCATGTTCATGCATGTAAACACGTTTTTGTATTTGTGGGTTTGTGAGAGAGCGACAGAGAAGCATCGGTCTGTTCCACTTACTCGTGCACCACGGATTGACTCTTGGACGGGCCCTACTGGGGATCGAACCTGCAACCCTGGTGTATCGAGACGACGCTGGAACCAGCGGGGCCACCCGGCCAGGGCTGCCAATGCATTTTTAAAAATCTAGGATACACCCCAAAACATTGAAGCGGCCGGCTCCAGGGAGCTGTGGGACGAGGGGGTGAAGGAAACTGGCCCTTTATCCCGGCGTTTGCCTGTGACCTGCAGGCCTTCCCAACGGAGCGCTTGTCTTAGCTGGGAAAGGAAATTCACTGGCGAGGGACGAAGTGGCCTGGACAGCGTTCGCTCTCTAAGCCACTGTTTGAGAAACTTCTGTGACAGGATTATATATGTGTGTATAATTTTCTTTTTTAAGGAGAACACTGCCAGCCAGTGTGCGGGGCGCGGGCGGGCTGGAGCAGGCAGCTGCCCAGGCTGCCCCNCGGGACATTTCCCCAGGGGCATCTGTCGTGCTAACTGAGCAAAGCTACTTGCAAACGTGTGCCTCACGAAAGGGGCGCCCAGGTCTGGGTGGCGACGGGACGCGCTCTGCCCGGTGGGGACCTGCCCAGGCCAACGGTGTGACACCAACCACCGTGTAGAAGAGAAGACCCCCTGAAAGTACATACGCGAAGCCATGTTCATGCATGTAAACACGTTTTTGTATTTGTGGGTTTGTGAGAGAGCGACAGAGAAGCATCGGTCTGTTCCACTTACTCGTGCACCACGGATTGACTCTTGGACGGGCCCTACTGGGGATCGAACCTGCAACCCTGGTGTATCGAGACGACGCTGGAACCAGCGGGGCCACCCGGCCAGGGCTGCCAATGCATTTTTAAAAATCTAGGATACACCCCAAAACATTGAAGCGGCCGGCTCCAGGGAGCTGTGGGACGAGGGGGTGAAGGAAACTGGCCCTTTATCCCGGCGTTTGCCTGTGACCTGCAGGCCTTCCCAACGGAGCGCTTGTCTTAGCTGGGAAAGGAAATTCACTGGCGAGGGACGAAGTGGCCTGGACAGCGTTCGCTCTCTAAGCCACTGTTTGAGAAACTTCTGTGACAGGATTATATATGTGTGTATAATTTTCTTTTTTAAGGAGAACACTGCCAGCCAGTGTGCGGGGCGCGGGCGGGCTGGAGCTGCCCCCGAATCCGCGGGGCCACGTGGCTGCCCGGCATCCCCTCAGCACCCGGCGGGCTCCAGCGGGGGCCCCCGGACCGAGCAGAGCCCCACGAGGTGCGCGCGGGGCCGCGGTCCTGCTTCGTGGCCGGGAGACGCAGGTGCTCACAGCCCTCGGGCCTGCGTGCGAAGCGCCCCGGCTCTGGGACGGCGCGGGGGGGGCCCCTTGCCAGCGTTAAAGCGAAGGCCGAGACGGGGTGGCGTCTGTGAGTGACCCGACTCTAGGGAGCCCGGCTCCAGCCCTGCGGTGGCTGGGGGGGCCCGTGCACCCCTCTGACCAGGACCCAGCACCTGAGGGGCAGGAGGGAAGCCGCCTCTGAAGGCATCACCCGCTCCTAGAGCGCCCAGGAGGGAAACCCGCAGGTGGGCCGGCTCCGAACCAGGCCGGCTCGCGTCCAGACGGGCTGCCTTTAGAATCACGAGGTAAGTTACGAAAAGCGGCCGTTCAGGTTTTACACAAACGCTCATACAGAGGTTGCAGAGATGAATGAAAGCACAAAGCCTTTATTGACGGGCAGATTATGAAGAATACGCCCAGTGGTAAGCACTGGGGACAGCGGTGCGTAGAAATATAATTTATAAAATTTTCACGGCAAACGATGGACATCTTTGAAGAAATCGTCGTTAGCTAAAAAAAAGCTTCTGGAGTGCAATTCACTCATAGTATTGATAACTGGTGCCCAGTGACGGGACCTCAGGAAATGTCGAGATTTCATAAATCATTTGTATCAAATCTCTTTTTTTCTGGTAAATTCCTTAGTGCCTCGGCAGCGGTAACTAGACAAGATCGGGAAGCTTTCAAGGTGATTCAAACCTCCAGCACCTCCCAGGAGTCCGCACTTCTTAACACAGGAGGCAACGCTAATCAGAGGAAATAAATAAAAAGGTTATTAAAAACAAACACGGGCTCGCCAAACTTCTAACGTATGCATCTATGTCTATTCCACTAAAAACGTCTAGAAGCGACCCTGGCCCCCCCGCCGCTCAGCCCCGACGCCTGCGCGGGTGGACGGTGCCTTTGCAGCGGGAACGGCGTGGGACTCCGCTTGTGGCGAGCCTCTGGGCTGTTTTAGGGCTACAGGACTTTCGAAAGGCTTATTAAAAAGGTGACTCCTGAGAATTTCAACATAAGGAAATCAGAGAGAAGGGGTCTTAAGTTTCGGAGACTAAGTTGGGGGAGAGAGAGACGTATCGTGATGCGCTGTAACCAGAGGCGGCGATGACGTGCCCTGGGAAGCGGCCGCGGATGGCACAGGCCCCGCGCCGCAGGGCGCGGGCGAGTTTAAACTCGGAGAACGTGGCTGACAAGCGACCATCGCGCCCCCGGGGGCGCGGCCAGGCCACTGGCTTCGGAGGCTTCCCTAGGCCTCCGGGACCCCCCCTCCCGGTAACGACCAGTTTGTTCCACTTCATGGTCTCCCGTTACGGCAGCACCTCTACGACGGGCCAAGGCTCCTGGCGAACCCCCCGGACGGTCTCCCTGCTGGAGGCCTTCCCCGGCACCGCCCGTGGAGCTGCCGCAGGAAAAAGGAGCCAAGACCACCGGGAACCACAGGACTTGTTAAAATAAAGAAAAGCAGACACCAATCAGCACTTGAAGTGCACAGATTAAGAGGACACCTGACTGCCTTGCCGTCATCTGCTCCTATGACATGCTCGCCTCTCCCCCAGTAAAGCCAGGAGGAACCTCAAGTCCGTAACAGCCAAAGGGGATGCACCGTCTCCACCTCTCTGGTCAACCTCTTTAATCTCTTTCTGAAGTGTCATCTCCTTCAGGCTGGCAGGTGAGGGACCAGGTTCAACGTAATAACGCACACACTCAAGTCCAAAATGCAAAGGCCAAGTACATTAAAAAAAAAACACACACAAAAAAACAGCACGACTTGAGAGTAAAACAAACATGAGCAGCTTATTAACTAAAAACCATCCTTAAGTAAATATTGAACTCTGGATATCAAATAGATCAGTTTCTAGGCAATTCTTCTGGTTAATAATTTTGTCAACATTCAATTTATTTAGCTCACTATCTCCGATGAGAAATAAGGCGCCTACGGTGCAAAGTCAACACAAGCGCCCGAGAACACGGTCGAGGGAGAGGCCTCTGGGTGATGCCAAGTTTTCAAGCCGCGCAAATAACTTCTGCAGTAAAATCGGGCTCGTTTCTTGGTCATGTTGAGTATCAAGTAGCATATTAGAATTTGTTAATAAATGTTAACGTGGATTCTGCCCATAAGTGTCTGACAAAATGGCAGGTAACCGAAGTCCTGAGGTTTAGAAGCCGACACCTCCAAGGAATCGCTCAGACCCGTCTGTTCCCACTTCAACCCTCATCTTCTCTAAACACGTCACTAGATGAACGATGTCACTGATAAAAATTAAAGAGTGGCTATGAAATATAGCTTTTCTACACAATTAAGTTTAATAGAGTCTTTTGTAGAATGTTTTGCTCACAAAATACTGCACGAGAAGGTTCCTTCTGCCAGGGCAGACGGCGTAACGCGCTAGGGCCGCAGGACTGACAGGTAAGGGTAAACTCTTCTGATCGGAATCGCAACATTCCGGTATTTGTCACAGCTAAATTGGCAATGCCGTTTTTACACTTGAGCATTTAGTTTCTGAAAATTGAGAGGCAATCAGTTTTCTACCAACATTCCTAATCAGTGACTAAAACACTAAGAAATCAACAACACATTATAACTGAAGTTGATAAAATCCTAGATTAATATCAAAATTGAGATGACATAGTCATAACTGATAAAAATATCAGCAAAACTAGGGATTTTTACAGAGCGACCTTGATAGTCACGCCCGTCACTGGGGTGGTCTTGGCCATGAGCAAGTCTCAGCAATATGAGGTCCTGCGGCTCACAACTGCCATGCTCTCCTCACCCACCCATAGCTCCGGAACCCCACACCCTAGTCCACAGGTCACAGCAAACACAGCTCACACTTACCATTACGTGGGGGGAGGGGAGTGGGAGGAAAACATGGAGATCTAAGACGCGAAAGGGAAAAAGACTATGAAATATGCTCTCCCTACCACCCATGCTTTGCTCTGGCAGCTTTATCCAGGAATGTCTGAGCCGAAGCAAATAGCCTCATTAATGGGAGGCTCCAGAGGCAAGTAAAGGTAAAACACACTCGAAAGAGGACAAAAATATAGTATGATCACTAATCCTGAAGACTGGAGGGTGGCTACGTGTGAATCCAGCAGATCCCACAGGTCAGGGCGAGAGCTGGGAGCCATGGGCAACCTCTCCAAACAAGACCCAGATGCTGAAAACCAGGCACCTTCGTGGACTCCTCAAAGCTGCAGGGAAAATGCATTGACCTTTCTCATCAAAACAGAACCACTCGGATTTTGTGCCAACACCTCTTTGACCCACCAGCGCCCCTAAAAACCAGTATTTAACTGTTTATTATGACTGGTTAAGGAGCATTGACACTAACCAGGTACAACCACGACTGCCAGAGAAAAGTGCCCACAGTGAGGCAGAATTTGCAGCTCTCGTGCCCAAGTGCCGCTGGCAAAGGAAGGTTAGGGCTCATGGAGACAGGCGGGCTGTATATTTAAAGGACGCGCTTCTGATACAGTCACCAAATCTTTAAATAAGTAGCAAACCTCGAAAAAGTAAAGAGACTGGAGTCAAACACAGAGATGAAATGTACAAAACAAATGAGCAGGCAACTGAAAGTTCTTGAAAGTATTTTACTTCGGGTTGGAAAATGAACAGTTCCCACACTGCTCATTGCAAGATACACAGTATTCACGAATACAATGCTGGTCATTTGAGGAAATGTACACGCCTCAATTCTCCTTCATGCTTTTTCTTTTAGAAAGATACTGTTTACCAAAAAGAAACGTCAGCAGTACAGGAAAAACTATTTTCCCAATAAATTTACGAAAACCTAAGATTCCCAATGGAATCAAGATTATCTTCCCGCTACCACCACCTTTAATAAAATCACATGCTTATTGGAACACTAATATCCGCACCCTAAGAGTACATTCACTTTCGACAATGAGGGTGATTCTTTTAAAAAAACTTTAGTGTGGTCAACGTGACATGGATCTCTGCAAGTGTTGTCTGAAGTAGGCAGCTAACACTGAATTTAATTTTATTTTATAAATAATTGTTCCCTTAGCAGTAAACATAAGTCTACACATTCACAATAGTCCTAGAAAATAAATACTGTGATTATGCACACAACATGTATGACAAACTAGTTTCAAAAAACAAAAGCTCGACACCTTGATAAAAATTCTGATCAGAATAAAACGTGACTCTAAAATTTAAAACATCGTCAAAGTAACATCACATTTAAAATCTTGCATGGGTTACACGGGTGTGGTTTCCGGTTCTGGAACATATCTTTCAGTTGTGAATTAAAATACGAACATATTGAATTGTTGATTTCAGGTATGACATCGGTTTTGGTCTTACTTTAGCATTATTTTCTTTATAAAAAGTTGCACTAAGTGTCCATTAACGGTCTGATTGGTCTTCAGTATTTCATAAATGTATATAAAAGAAATTCCTAAAAGCCAACAGTACTTTATATGTATATATTTATAAAAGAATCTCATCTCAGAAACGGCTGTAATGAGCAGAGCCACACACACTGATGCTGAACATAAGAGCTTTCACCTACAGAGAGCAATTTCAGAAATTCACTTACATTCGATCATAGTAAACATTCCCAAACTCAACAGGTGACGAAGAACAGAATTGTACATCTCGTTTGCACTCAAAGCTGACCACAACCAAAATTTACAGTATGATTGAAACAAGCCAATGTTTAAAAAAGTTTTAATTCAAGGTAACAATTCCATGGAAGGAGAGGACAGAGAATGCAATGACAAGAAGTATTTGGTCTTAAAAGGCAATACAAAAGAGACCCATTATCAAAGACCATTTCATTCTGAAAGATCAACAATACCAAAAGCAGAAAGTGGAGTATAAGAAAATAGTTTTTTATAAGTATGATTTAATTAAAGCTGTTGACAGGTTTCTCTCCCACAGTAGTTAAGCATGAGTTTTAAAAAGAGATGAGAGACGAGCACACGCAGCACACAGGGCGAGAGGCGCCAGCATGCAGTCTGTGCAGCGCAGGGCTCACTGCGACAGGAGGGACAGACACGTGGCCTTTCTCCCTATGAGAAATTATTTTAAAAAAAAAAAGACGGCAAAGGAAACAAACACGAAGTCATGTACTTGCCCACTGCCCAAGACGACAGCACTATTGAAAATGACTGCAAGTTAATTTCAGAGATGACTAGAGATTTTTCAGTGTTTACACAAAAGTACACAGTACGGATATATATATATTTGTTTGTACAAAATAAAATAAATGTCATTTGCCACCATAAACCTTTTCTTGAGGGAGGAAACACTTTTGCAGCAGCAGGTCACGAGGGTCCTACCAGGTCATTTCAATGCCAAGGACAAATTGAGTAAGAGAACTAGTCACGCCCCTACGTGTGGATGTTAAGATGACAATTCAGATTATTTTGCAAACTAATCCTGAGAAAAAATCTGTATACAATTTAAACAGTAATGTTATGTAAAAAGTATTAACAAATCCACTATTACAAATATCAATTTCCTATATGGTCATCTATATATACACACAATAAAATGGTAAATATATGCAAAAATATTTAAAAAAACACATGCACAGATCACTTTTCCCTTTGGAATCTGGGCTTCCTATGAGAGACCTGTTCTCCCCCCACCCGACCCTCTGAAATTCCATTTTCTTCCAATCACCCACCCACACTGACGACTATTCCCCCTAACTCTGCATAAAGCCAATGAGAAATATATTTATTTTACATTCAAGCTTTAAATCTTAAAATGACCCTGTTGTAGCATATGACTTATCAAATGAGCAGCCTTTTCTCCCCCCTTTTTTGCGTGCTTTTTGTTTTTGCAGCTGTCAGTCTTCGTGATCCATTCCATGGCGAGCTGGGAAAAAACACAGTTGCTAAATCAACAAGTGGACAGCGCAAGGCTCCTGAACGTGTCCCAGGAGTCCCCAGGCAACTGTCCTGGGCATGAGGTCACTGCACACAGACGGTCCATTGCACCACGCCGACTATCTACAGAGGTCTGAGAGGGGGGCGTCCCTCTTGTGTTTCCTCCTTTTGCCATGGAAATACTGATTATTGGATTTGCCTTGATGCTGTTTGTTTGTCATCAGGGCCCCATGGCTGGTTGGAGCTGTACCTTGGAAGCCTTTGCTGGAAGAACGGAAGAGCCGGGCCGGTCCGTGCTGCAGAAAAAGAAGCGGGCACAAGGACGTCAGTACCACAGTGCGCCGAGCACCCGCCAACACCCAACACAGGGAGCTCTGGAAACCGCAGCAAGAAAATAACACCCCAGGGTTAACTCGCGGAGCTCTAAAACCGACATTACTTTTCACTGGGTGCTGAGAAACGCAGACCACTGCCTTGCCTTCTTAACAGAGGAGACGGAAGGTAAAACCTTCCTTAAGGAACTACCAGCCAATACGCCACGTGAGAAATGGCACTGCAGCTCCCAGACCCAGTGCGCTGCCAGGTCAGGGATTGTCATGGCTGGCCGCCCCCTCCGTCTGTCACCTGTCCCGTTAATTGCCACTCTAGATGAGTCTGTTTGGTCACATGACTAAGGCTGCAAAGATAAAGTGAATTCTGCAGGTCAATGGAGGTATGAGGTGAGTGACATAACAGTCATTCTACTGCCCAGGGCCTCCCAGAGTCCTGTTGTGCTGGGACAGGGTCAGATGGCCTTAGGCTGGAGCCCAGCAGCAAACGGCTTCTTCCCCTCATTCAGATTCATTACCCATGATAATAAAATTTTAGCCAACAAAAAAAACTTAAAATAGAGGATCTCTGTGGCTTTCTTAAACCAAAGCTGATGCTCAACAACTAAACAGGGCTGGCCGCTGCCCGATCATTTCAGCACAGGCACCGAGGCATGGAATAATAAAACGTAAGAGCGTCCTTCATTCCCAGATGTGCACAACATGACCATGAGCCAAGCCAAGAGCAGTATCTGCGTTTGCTTCAAGTACAATTAAACCTTTTTATAAACTGATGGTATATTTTATGCTGAATCTGGAATAAGGGCGGCAGGTGGGACCATCTTATAAGGACCAGTGGCTAGACTCCCATAAAGGTCTGTGTTACAGTGGTGTCCCATAACAACCAAGGACACGCCCTGGCCAGTGTGGCTCAGTGTTAGAGCACTGGCCTGTGCAGCAAAGGGTCACGGGTTCGATTCCTGGTCAAGGGCACATTCCTGGGTTGTAGGTTAAATCCCCAGCCCCGGCTGGGGTGCATGTGGGACGGGAGGCAACCGACTGATGTGTCTCTCTCACATCAATGTTCCCCTCTCTCTCTCTCTCCCCTCCTCCCTTCTTGCCTTCCACTTTCTCTCTAAAAAAAAAAAAAAAATCAATGGAAAAAATATCCTTGGGAGAGAATTAACAAAAACCAAACAAACAAAAAGACCAAGACACCCTGTCACTAGAAGCACTGTCCGTGCACCAGAACCTCTTAGCTTTGTTCTTTAACCTCGAGTGTTCTTCAAACCCATGATGTACATGTGTAACTGACATGTAAGACATTTTAAGTATTTTGTTCTGAATCCTCACAATGAGAAACTCGAGTTCACGTACCTGTGATTTGCTGGCGTTGCCGGGCGTGGCAGTGGCCTGGGTGCTCTGCATTTTCCCACCTGCCTGCGAGGCCTCCACGGACACGTCCTGCAACCCTACTCGGTTCCCGGGGGACGGACGGCAGAGCAGCTGTTTGGGGGTTTTGCATGGTGTCGCATCGGAATCCTAACACAAGTCACATGAATTACAATGTGCCATATTAAATCATTTAGATGCTCAATATTTAAAAAGGAAAACAATTTCAGCTAAGTACTCCATGGACCAAATTTAAACATCTGGGACAACCTTAAGGAAGCATATTGAGGAATTTATAAGACGAACTGCTTAAGTTTTCCTCTAAACACTGAAAGTGGCTTCTTTTGTCAGAGGGTTTCCATTCATCGTTAAACCTGCTGCCCACGCCCAGCCTTGCTAATCAGCCTTGAAGGAGCTCACAGAGGTCCATGTTTATTTGTGCCTTCATTTACAGAAAATGAGCCATGGTAACATGGGAAGAGCAGGGTAATGAGTGAGTACCTAGGTCCCAATCCCCAAATCAGTGTCTTCCACCATCACAAAATGGTTGATTTAAGAGGCTCCCCCTCTGAGACTCTGTGATGACAACTCGGAGCCCTCCAAATACCCTGTGGACGGGGACTTCCCAGGGACAATGGTTGAGCCCCACCTGTTTGTGGGCTGCTTGGGCCATGTGGGCTACGTCTGTCCTCTGGTCTACCCACCTTCCCCACACTCCACCCAGGTCTCTGGGTCTCATGCTCTCAGTCCCTCCCCTCCCCCTCTCCAGGCGTCTCTGCCTCCGCCCCGCTGTGTCTGTGACAGCTGGCTCAGCACTGTCCTCCCCAGCTCTGCACTAGGAACCAGACAGGCACACAGGTCAGTTCTGCATGAGAACTTATGACTCTACGATACAACAATAAAATGATGTCCTTTCCATATTTAGATTACTTTTGATGTCACATGCCTCGAAAAGTCAAAATTTAAATAGGTAAGCTCATTTTAGATCTCTGTTAAGTCAACTCAAAATTAACCCTGAGAAGGAAAAGTAACTGTAGGTGTAACTGATGTTAAAAGTTTGATCAGGATAGAGACAGACAGCACGAGCAGGGCTACCAGGGAACGGGGACACAGGACCTGCTAAGGGGTTTCTTCTTGGGGTGATGGAAACGTCCTGGAATTAGATGGGTGACGGCTGTACAACACTGTGAATGTACTAAAACCCAAGATATTATATACTTTTTAAAAAATGGTAAACTTTATGTGACTTCTATCTCAATTTGTAAAAATTAAATCAAGAAGCTCAGAAGCATTACTGAATGGAAGAAGCCTCACAAGAGTATATACACCATGGTTCCACTGCCATAACGCTGTGGAACAGGCAGAACTGATCTACAGCATTAGAAAATCCCCACAGTGCTGCCTCTGAAGTGGGACTGGGGACTGACCAGACAGCGTCATGAGGTAACGCTAGTCTCTATCTTGTTAGGGTTTGGGTTCTCATGTGTATGCATTTGCAAAAATTTCGTGAATGTACAATTAAGATTGCCTTATGCATCAATTTTATATTAAAAGCGAAAACAGGGTCAATATTGTGCTCTGGTTAATGATGCACACACTATAGCACTCCGGGGATGTGTGCTGGCCTCTGCAGTTTACGTGGAAATGTGTCAGAGAAGAGGAATGAATGGACGGGGGTCAGGCTTGGAGGTGACGGTCACGCGCAACATGAGTGCAGAGCCCAGGGCGGTGCAGATGGGTGCTCACTAACACTTGTTTATTTGTGCTGTACACTTGGAAATTTTAATATAACGTTGAGAAATAGTGCCATCGTTACTGTTGTTAAGATTCCCCAGTAAAACAAGTCGGAAAATGAGTCCACCTCCGCCCTCCAGAGCGCTATCCCCGGCAACAGGCCCGAGCAGCCCGGTTCAGGAAAGCCACATCCCCATACTTACGACGTCACTAGAGCTGGACTGTGTGGCGGAAGACGAAGACACTGGACCTGATGAAGAGTTTGAAGAGTGTTTACTAAGAGGTTCCGAAGTTTTACTTCTACATTTTCCAAGGGCTTCATTTTCTTCAGACAGATTATTATTACATTTATCTAACTGCTGAGAATCTACTATCAAGGTAACACCATTTCCTGAAAGAGTGGCAAAAGATTGGAAAACGTTTCTTCCCATTAGACACACACAATTCAGAAAAGCGGCTAATAGTCGATCGAGAACAGGAAACTCACCGTTGCAGGAGGGCTCGGGCCTGCTCTGCAAGCCCCACTGCTTTGATATCCAGTCTCGGTATGTGGCGACTTCATCCGTTACTCTAATTATTCTACCTAATATGCTGCATGCATTTTTAAAAAAAAGAGGGAGGTACATTAATTTGAAGGTAAGAAGCCACAACCAACTATGAGCACTGAGCTGATGTGAGTTAAAGTTTTACCTCTCTGTCTCATTGTTGGGATAGTACTTTGCTATGGGTGACACAGCGTGACTCAAAACCACGTAGGCATAATCAAAGGCCTGCTTCACCTGCATGGCCCCGTAGGAACTCCTTCCAACATCATTACCTGGAGAAGAAATGTACATGTAAGATAGTAAGCTTGGGCGCTGCTTAACAGACCTACCTCTTCACAAACCCTCTTCCTGGAAAGTAGGGGCGATCACTTCCTACTAGAGTTGCACCTGGAATCTGGCTGTCAGTGGCCCCACAACTCCCCAGGCTCTCAGCGTGTACACCATGAATTAAGTAGTTATAACAGGGTACACCTCACCTAAATGTATTCTGGCCTACCAGGGACTATCCTAGACAGTTCTGCAGACAAAAGTCTGCCTGTTTTCTCCTAAGAGTGAACCAAGCCATATGTTTGTATTTTAATCAGCTATGCAAGTATCTTCCACACTAAATTATGAGCTTCTACAAAGCAAGGACCATGCAGCTGAAAAGTCTGTGTCCTTTACGCACAGTACAATAGGCTCCCAATAAACATCTCCTCAATGAACAAATGCACGGGACTATTAATATTCCTAAGATGGCTCAATAAGCCAGAAAGGCTGTGAGGCAGCTACTGTACCTCTTAACTGCCTTTCCTTACTTATTTTCAAAGTTAACACATTAAAGCACGTGACTAAAAGCATTTCCACTGAAGTCCAATAATGCACAATTGAAGTGCTTTACAATTATATCAGGAAAAATTGTTGCCCAGAAAACCTAGGAGACAAGCAAGCAAATATAACCTCATGAGAGCATGGGAGGAATCCACTTTCTGTTCCCTTTCAAGCCAACGTGATGCTGGAACAGCACGGGGAGACCATGCAAAATTAAAGGGGAAAGGGAGCTAAAGGAAAATCAACTGTCTTTTTGAACCCTTAGCTCCTGAATCTGAGCTATATTATTGTGTCACTGCCTCCGAGGACCTCAGAATCCTCCCAGTAAAGCCCTGGCTGGAAAACAAGTCATAGACGCAGACAACAGCATGGCCATTACCAGAGAGAAGGGGGTGGGAAAGTGGAGCAGGGTAAAGGGGGAACGGTGATGGAAGGAGACGTGACCTGGGGTGGGGAACACACAATACAATATACAGATGATGCATTATAGAACTGTACCCCTGAAACCTATATAATTTTATTAACCAATGTCACCTCAATAAATTCAATTAAGAAAAAATAAAAGCCCTGGATGAATGGGTTGAAATCAGGCAATGACAACACAAGAAGAAAAATGGCTGTGAAACTGGAGGGGCACACAAACCCACCCAAGTAGCTCACACCCACGGTCCTCTGCCTTAAAGTCGAATGGATCCCACTCCCAACTCATCTGGAGTCTGCAACGTGTTTTTCTGGTGTGCGTGTGTGTATGTGTTTATTTTCATGTTTTTTTCCGGTGTGTGTGTGTGTTTATTTTCATGTGTTTTTTTTGATGTGTGTGTGTGTTTACTCTCATATATTAGCTTATAAAATGCTTTGATGAAAAAAGAATGACCACAATTAGAAGTTGATCCTTAATTTTTTATCTAAACAGAGTTTTAAGTACAATATGGTAACTACCATGCCCTTCCTCTGAATGCCCATAAATTTACCTAATATCAATACCTGGTTGTAAAGGATCTTCAATATAAAGCATCGACGGCCTGTAGCCATCCAGCATATTTTTCTGTACTTCATCTTTGGCCACATATGAACCACCATCCTTTATCCGGATGCCAGTCTTTAAGTAATTGAAGTGTCGTCCATACAATTCAAAAAATTCTATTAAGAGAACACCATAGTTTGTATTGGGGATGCAAGCATCTTCCCTGGGATGTAACTAAAACCAGAAGAAGAAGAGAAGGAATTACACTGGGTATCCTGTGACTTCTGGAGGCGGGGGTGATGAATGGCATCCTGACTGCTATACTCAGCACTACCTACTGCGCCTCTGGTTTAGCGGAGCAGCCAGCAGGGGAGGGGGCTGTGCTGCCGTTACAGACAACACACTGTTACAGACAACACACTGCCTCACGGCAGAGCGGGCTGGGCGACTCGGGCGGGGCTGACAGCTGCCCCAGGATGCGGCAGGCCGGGCTGACCTATCAGGACGTCACTCTGAGTCACAAGCAGAGCCAGGCATCTGGCAACACTGCCACATAAACACGCGCAGGGCAGCAGTGGCTTCTCACTCCTCTTGCCCACACAGCAGGCCCAGTCCGGTAGAACTTTCAAGATTTGCTGCTTAGAGGACACTTCCTATTTTTGGCATTTCTACTACTATTTACTTATGGAAACCACCCCATAGCTTTGCATGTTAAAATTTGCAGTGAAAAGTCTCAAAAACAATAGAACATATGGGATTAAAAGCAAAAAATATATATTCTTTCCTAGCGATTTTTATTTACTTACTTGCTAAATTACAAAAAGGCACCCAGTTTAAGGGAAAGTCGTAAGTGATCAAGGGAAACATGGCAATTGAGTTCGAGTTACATTTTCCCCAATGACCCCCAGTTACTGTGGTCAGTGTTAGCGTCCACTAGCACAGCAGACCATAGGACATACCTGGAGGAAGCTGACTGCCATCAGAAAGAGGCTGTAAGAACCAATTCCACCTGTAAATACTTCATTAAGGTCCCTCTGTAATAGGAATTGTTTTAATACTAAAACCAAGTATGGTAATACAGGATATTTCTGAAAAAGAAGAAAACATTTTCGATGAATTCCTATATTAGGACTAGCTCACAGCATGAACAGCATACTGGTCTCTAAGCATAAACTGGCTCTTCCATTACAAACTTCAGTGGAGATACTTCACTTTCCACTTTAGGAGCAAGCTATAAAAGTAAGTACAGTAACTCAGGAACATGGAGACACAGATAAGGCACCGAGCACTCTCTACAGGCGGAAATACCAGCAACACACCACACACCAGATGACGCCCATTTACAGCCATCAGCATAAGATATTCATTTGTAAACAGGTAATAGAAACAGTACAGGACAAAGTCTTGACTTGTAAAGCACTAAGTCAGTGGGATTTTAAAGAATCATTTTTCATAGGCAGCATCCCACCAGGTAAACCAGGGTCCTTCAGGCGATTCTGCAGAGCCCAGGAGCAGCCTGGCCTGCTGGGTCCATGTGGGCAGGTGACCAGAACCTTCCCTTCACAGAGGACATGAAAGAGCGGGCACCCAGGAGCAGTGTGAGTCCCTCTCTCACTCAGACACACCCTCATTAAGTTCTTCCCAGAAGCCAGGCCGAAGGCTGGGGACCCAGACGGGGACAATGCAGGCACCAACTGCTAGGAAGAAGCCTCACAGCCATTAGCCAACAGTGGCGGAATTACTAGGGTCTCCGGTGTCTTCCTGATCCTTACCGTGACACATGTGCTTCCATGAGAAAGAAAGAAGTGTGTACTTTTGCAAATCATGCCCAAATAAAAAGCATGAGAAAGAAGTATGGAGAAGTCATCACTTTTCAACATTCTGGTCGAAGTCAGAAATAGTCTCTTTAAATGGAGGAAACCAGTCCGTGCTGATATGAAAGAAACCTCCAGAATAGTAAGTTTAAAAAAAGTATAAAATAATGTGTATACAGGGTGCTATTCCTTCTGTTAAAATTTCAAGAGAACAGAAAAGAAAGGTTGGTGGTGTCAGCCGGCCTGAGCTGTGAGGCATAAGGTGACTCCCTCCCGATCTTCTTTACATCAGTGAGTTTTTACTTTACTGTGCCTATGGTTCTCAGTTAAACAACACTTCTGGGGAGAAAACACTTTCCACACAGCCAGCCCCCCCACAGGAGCAGGACTGCGGACGGTGCCCCTTTTCCCTTCCTGCCCATCTGTGCTCCGCACGCTCACACGAGAGTAAAGAAGTCAGTGTCCTTTTTTACAAAACAGAAACAGGAGAACTGGTCGAGTTGCTAAAAAAACTGTAAACGGTCAGAGAAGATATTCTATATAAACCAAAGCAGTTTTAACATTTTTAGCTTAAGGAGCAAAAGGCTGAGGGTCTAAGCACATGAGATGTTCTGGAGATGATGTTGACAAATTCTTCTGTACCTTGGAAGACAATGGAACAAGTAGAAACAGGCTTAAATCTTGACAAGACAGAGTAAGGAAATCCAAAGAACCACCTTTAGGCGACTGGGGGTTAAAACCTAGAAAAGTAGCCCTGGGGAGGGTCCCAGTCTGAATTGGGAGTAAAAGCAGACAGGATTCCATTCCAGTCCCCAGCTCCACGCCAGCCCTTATCTCCCCCTCAGCTCCCTCAGAGCAGAGCAGAGCAGTTCAAAAGCTTTCCCAGCCTTGAATTCTCACTTTAGGTCAAGTTAGAAGTCACTAATTATTCCAAGCAGATTTCAGGAAAGCACACCAGGGCACAGAAGCATCTGTCAGCAATGCCCCTCAAAATACCTCCAGGACAGATCCTCAAAGCCACCCCCATTGCTGAGGGTCCCCTGAACGCTGTAAATTCTGACCTTGGTGAAGTCTTTGATGAGGTCCGCTGCTCTCACACCATTCTGTACATTAAAGCTGATGTCAACTTTCACTTCAGTAAAAGAATCCGTTAACTTAATAATAGGTACCTTGAAGGGAAGAAAGTTAAAATTAAAATACTTTAACCAAACTACAAGACAAAGTCAGGGCGAAGGTGACCAGACTTGAGGTCCTGACCCCCTCTTGGGACATGAGAACACTGCACACCACAGCTAACTGCCTTCTGCAAACTTGCCTCTGCATAGTTAGCATTTTGCCGCATTCAACATACTCTGTCATTTCTATGGGTTGAGAATCTTGAGATCAAGTGACAGAAACCTTTGCTGACAGTATGTACTTTGGAGAATAGCTTTCTACTTAATGTAACATCAAGAATTATGAACGACAAGCACCAAACTGTTTCCAGTGGGAAACTGCCAGGTTCCAAGTCACACACACAGCCCAGTGGAATCACAGGTCAGTTTTGCAAAGAGCCTAAAACACAACCTAGCAGAAGAAGATAATTCCCAAATAAAAACTGACAGGATTTCACGAGACCACGGGGTTTCTTTAAAAACAGAAAAGCTTGATGTGCACCATGCACGAGAAGCTCAGGCGAGCAAACCGTAGAACCAGGTTTCCAAACCAATGGGTTTTTATAAAAAACAACACAAGTTGTTTTGCTTCAAGAAAACATGATATGCAAAAGCCCTAAATTCTAAAATAGATGTATTTCCACAAAAGTTCTTCAATGGCCATTCTAGATATAGTTAACATATGGCTGGATTTACAAAATTTCAATTCTTCCATTTGTCATGGACACTAAGAACAGAAGAGCAGTACCTTCTGTGTCACCACACACTGTTTAATAGATATCCAGATTTTCATCTATACTTTTCCATATTAAAAAATCCCTGCAGTATTATGGATGATAAAATTGAGTATTTTTTACAAGAGACATATGACTATGACGAGTCCATCTGTGTCACACACAAAGCTGTGTACACATCTGAGCGCTGTGACCACTAACAGCGGAGAGAAGGCTTGCTGAGTCCTGTGTACCCCGCCCCCCAGCCTGCACTCTCCAAAATTAAACTTCAGTTGTACAGGCCTCTGCGTGAGGGACTGGAGACCTGGAGAGGAATAGGCAGGAACTCACAGTTGCTTTGTCCAGAACTTTCACCGAATCCTCATCTGCAACTTTATGTTTTCGGAGAGCTTCTTCCAGGGTCCACAGGGGGAGGTTCTCCCACTTCCCAAACACCACCAGGTCGATGTCACTAGACATAGAAAATAGGCCGAAGGTTGTTCGAAGCAGCAAGAAAGTGTTTTCACTTAGACTCAGCTTCAATTAGTACGAGGAAAAGCCATTTCTCACGCTGCCCTGGAGGCTGACTGCGTTGGTGCTGACTGCTTCAGAGGTGAAAGGAGGTCAGTGACTTCAGCAGCCACCTCCTTTCAGTCATTTCACACAAGTCAGGCCTCAGGAGACAGGGCGACTGTGAGGGAAGTAGAACATCAGAAACCACCGCAAACGTTTCCTGTTCATAGAGATTCTGGGACTAAAAACTTAAGACTCTACATGGCTGAGATGAACTGTCACTTAGATTAGTAAGTGTAAAAAGCAAGATGCCACCACTTGTGTAAACAAGAAAGAAAATACCCACACGCATGTCCCTTCCAATGCATGAAGCCTGGAAGGAAACGCAAGGCTGCAGAGGGGAGACGGTAGGGACAGAGGTCAGTCCAGACTTTTCACTGTGATTACTTCTGTGCCCTTTTCAAATTGAATTAGGTGAATATACCAACTACTCATAAAATTTAATGACATTTTTTAGAAAGTGACTCAGGATTTTGCTGAAGCTCAGCACCTAAACAGGGAAAAATACTAATGAACCTGAAGCTGAATGTCTATGGCTTGCTCTGGGCTGCCCAGGGGGAGAATGAAGTTGTCAGGACCACGCAGTGCAACACGCGCAAGTTAGGGCGAGAAGGTGAAACCAAGCTCCCTCCAACAGGATGGATTCCTACCGTCACACAGCATGTGCCCTTCACAATTTAAGAGAGCGAGTCTCACGTTGGTGTTCTTACCACCGTAAAAACAAAAACTAACCCATGACGGAAGGTTTCTCCCTAAAGACAACGGCAGCTCAATTCTTAGAGAGCAGGCATTCGCCCCTCAGGGAGGCCTGACTGTCCCCAAAAAGGGCCCCCAGGCCGAGGGACAAGACAGCCCTCATTCGAGAGGCTGCGGTAAGCAGGGGCTAAGGCGGTCACATCCTTCCTCAGACAGGAGTCTGCCCCTGAGTTTCTGGGTCAGGATGCCGAAGAGTGGATAACAGTGCGAGTTCTTAGTAAAAAATGAGAAGCCTGGCATTCGCGTACACACGGCTCTGTGGTGTAAGCGGGTGTTCCACCAAAGATTCCACTAGCACGTGAGTGGGCTACGGGGTGGGCTGAACAGTCTCCGCAGAGGGCCCATTGCTACAACTGGAAACTGACTCCACCACTCGCTGCAGGCCCCATCCATCTATCTGAGCTGATGCAGGCAGTATCTGTACCGCTGTGTGGTAAGCTGTCTGAAGTGATATTCTACCTCAAGATAACTCAAATAAAATACAGGTACACAAATTTCTGTTTCATAAATCTGTTTTGTTTCTATGCTTACACATTCAACATAAAAATTAATACAGCCTATAAAAGTGCACAACCCCCTGAAAGTGACATAAATATACTAACCTAGTAGGTAAATACAGGCCAGTTTTGAAACTCCCAAATATTTGGACCTGAAATAGAAACAATTATTATATTAATTGCTATCAGCCGAAAGCCACCACACCACAGAGAAATGCTGGTTTCTGCTACCCTCTACTGGCACTTCTGAGTACTGCAAGAGCAGTTTCCCAACCCCATGCTTCAGAGATCCCATAGGCAGACATTCAGAATACAGTTAAACATATTAGGTTCAAATATCAAACATATAGGCTCAAATAGAAAACTTTCATAAGTAACAATCAGGTCACTAATGTTCCCTTATAATCACAAACCCTGAAAGTATGTTCTGTAAGCAGGAGTGGCCTCACAGATTACTAAGGTCAGACCACTTCAACCGCAGGCCAGTTCCACGGAGAACACCAGGCCCTGTCACTGTACCCCGTTCACAGCGTGCCATGGCCCAACACCAGGACACATCCCCTGTCCATCCACGGAGAACAGTGGGAGACTCCAGCAGGGATGTGTATGTGAATGACTGCAATAAAGGTTGAGGGAAGAAAGGCACAACCTCAGAGGAGAGATGGACCCAGTCACCTGTGCAGAGCGTGAGTTCGTCCATAAAACAAACGTGGATAAAGCTGCCGCCTCAGGAGGAGGAGGAGGAGGAGGAGGAGGAGGAGGA